AGGAGGAGGAGGGTCTCGAAGCCGCTGACGAGTCGACAAGCCAGAGCGCACCCATGACCAAGCCTGAGCCCAAAGGAGGCTTAGGCATTGCAGGCTCAAGTGCCAGCGAGCTTTCTGAAGATTTTATGAGTGAAGGAAGTCCAAATTCATCCTTTGTTGGAGCTTCAGCACGGAGACACTCAATAGGAGACACTCTGGAGCTTTCAATGTCTGCTTCAATGTCTGCAACAGGTGACTTGGACTTGCCACAGTCGCATCCATTAGAAGCAGAAGTCGCATCATTGGCGAGAAGCTTAGCCATGCTGCAGAAAATCCGAGAAAGCCAACAACAGTATTTGGAGCTCGTCTTGCGGCGGGATCTGAAAGCCAACACATCTGAAGGCTGAGCTCATTCGAGGCCTTTCGAAGTTCTCGCACGACCTTCTTTGTTCAGGTATCGTTCTTGCTCCGACGGTTGGCGTGATTTCAATGTCAAGTGTATCCAGATGCTTAACAATGTTGATGTGTAAATTACATGATTTGAACATTGAAGATTAGTTTCACTGCCCAGAGAAAAAGCTGCTACGAGCACTTGGCCTAATGCCAGAGTTGCTTGTCCCCTGCTTTTGGTGCAAAGCAGAGCATGCATGTGATGTGGATGTGATAATGAGTATTACATTTGCACTTGTGACAAGCCTGGTTGAATGGGGGGATGTGAGCAAAATCATGCAGTCCAGCCGGCTGAGCATCGGAGGAGATGAAGGTTCGAGTTCGTCCACTCCAGTGAGTATTGGACTTGTCTGCTCCGAAGGGCTGACAGCAGGAAAGATTCAAGAGCTGTCAGTTGATGGAACGGCGCTTTGATGTCCCTCTTGCTAGCCTGGGACATCTCAGATTATGATGCGTTGCCCCCGTCAAACACCTCGTTCACAAGAGAAAACTAGAGCTAGAGACTGAATTGCGCAGCTGATAAGGCGCCCAGCAATAGACTGCTTGAGAAACCATATCAGAATGAATGCACTTTGTATCTTTGACCCAAAGACCTGAAAGGAGGCCACGTTGTTATCAAGTAAACGCAAACAAAGGCAGATCACAGATTCCCATGCTAACAACAACAAGCTGATGCGTTTATTTGTACACACGGACATGCATATATCATCCTATATATATACACCATTGTACACCTGCAAAGCAGCACCAAGACTAAGGCATGCTGTCAGACTGATGTACATAGTTAAACTACAAGAGCTGCTATTGTTGGATTGCACATCCAAGCCAGAAGACGGATACCAAATCAATTCACCGGGTTGCTGCTTTTGCCCTCAAATGATCTGTAGGTTGTTAGAAGAGCATTTGGGTTGGCATCAAGACTTTATGCAAAGCATTCAATCCCAGCCCCACATGGCAAGCAGGATGCACACTGAGTAAGCTCCCTCCACGTTGGATGGAGGTATCTTAGTCGGGTGATGTTGGGTGGGTATTGCTGAGGAATTCACAACGCATCATGAGATGCGAGTATCGGAGTATAGGTCCGCAGACAGGCTTGAAACCAAGCGATGACTTGTTCGAAAGACGAATTCAAGAAAAATTCTCAACCTACGACAAATTGCAGTCTTCGTGTGCTTGATCATATGCGTGCAAAGGCTGAAAATTGTAGTTTGGTAAGTTGCGACTGGTCGGGACAGTTGTGCACGCTATGTGGTGTGCTGTGAGTTGGTTTGCATCGCCGTGACGGTGGCCAAGAGTATCGAAAGTTCGATGTCTCCAGCAAGGAGCGTCCAACAATAGACACATTTCTGGAGAAAATCCTCAAAAAGCAAGATTCCAGAGGACACTACTTATTGAACATATTCGAGAAGTAGACTCTCAAGGGAAGTTACGCAAAAGAGGAGATTTCAAGAGGAAAAAGTCCACAGGTAGAGATTTTCTGAGCAAAAAGTACCGGACCCGTTCAGAAACAGAGATTTCCAGAGAAAAGTTTCCGGATTTCTAGGCAAATAATTTGAAAAGGATACATTTCTAGCGAACAGTTTAGGCTTGTGTCTTCTAGTGAAAGAGATCAGATCAGCAAACGAGCGGCAGAAGCCAGCAATGTTGCGCTTGCTGGAGCAGCCCTCCGTGCTTTCGTCCTTCCTCACCTCACAGAGCTCGTTGCACTTCCAGTGTTTGCAGGGGATGCTCTCAGATCTCTGAATGATCACGAATCACGAATAGGGGTTCCTGTGTTTTGTTGTTTGTGCGTTTGTGTTTGTGTTTTGTTTGTTGTGATCCGTGACGTTCAGTGTTTGTGGCAAGACCCCACCATGCGAAACATGCAAAGCCAAAGCCTGCAAAGCGATACATACAGCGCTCATTCTACCAAACATTGCAAAACGATACGGGACGCCCTAACTTTGAATGAATACAGCTTAAGCAAGTAACTTAGAAAACAACTCATATAGAGATGCTAGACACATATGGTAATATGCTGGTGTAGCACTAAAGAGCAGCAGACTGTGTGTGTGTGTGATCGAGCGCGCGTTAATGGACAGAGTAGTCAGCGGGCAGAGCGGTATTTTGGAACAGCGACGGTTTCGGAACAGTCCCCAGGCTAATTGCCCTTTGTTCCTAGTAGCTCCTAGTAGCTTCTTGTTACTAGTAGTAAGGCCAGGAGCTACTAGTAGCGTCCTTGCTCCTAGTAGCGATGCCCTTTGTTCCTGGTAGAGGGTAGCAGGTGTTCTGGATAGAATGGTTATGGCCCTGACAGTGGCGGACACGATGGGAGAATCGTCTATGCATTGTCATACGCAAGGAAGAACTGGTGACTTTGTAGTGCAAAATGTAGTGCAGGAAGTGGTTTCTGGAAGCTCCGGGCCAGTTTGTAGTGCACCTGTAGTACATGCTGGATTCACTGAATCCTTCACTGACTCCCTTATTGACCTGTCTCACTCACTCCTTGTCTCCCTGACATCTTCACTTACTCAGTCCTTGACTAATTCATCCACCTCCTCTCCTCACTCATCACGCTGCACTTCAACACATCATTCAAGAAGGACCTGCAAGACCGTTCACGCGGAGACATCACTGCATCGGAAGCAATCTCGTCACTCACCCCACTGCACTACACTTCACCACATTGCCAACCACCACATTACACAAATTCCCACTTTACACTTTGCCGTGCTACATGTAACCACCGAACGAACCCGTTCACCATCCCTTGAATCTTGAATCATCATGTTGCACTTCACTGTACCACTTCAAGCCTCCTCCTCACCTGACGAGTCGTCACACCAATCACGGCCCTATAGTTTATATGCTTTGAAACTCTCGCTCACCGGTAGCACAAACATTATGATGGTAAAGCACATGCACAAAAGAGACGAATGATGCAGAGTTGAGCCTGTTTCTAGTCCTGATTCGTTCCCTTGGGTTCCAGAAGTGGATGCGGGAAACCGAGTCTGCACAAAGACATGGGTGAAGCCCTTCGTGTACAGCTTTGTATATAGGAAGGGGATGCATTTGAGGTCGTTTGCCGTGTGTACGTCGGATTGATGCACACATGCTCAGACTGCATCAGCAAAAAGACTTCGCAGGTGTCAGTGAGAGTTCACCTTGCAGTAGGTCCCTTTCCGTTTTTCAATCATTGGCGTTCCATCGTTGGATCATTGGTCTGGATGTTGTTCTTTGGTTGCTCGTTTCTAAACACTCGCCGCTGAGGGCAAGGTGATAAAACCTGAAATGTGGAGTGCTTGGTTTGCAGCTCCTTTACACATCTGCTTTTTTTGACACTGTACAGAATTGAACTGTTTTCCTTTTCCGAGGAAGCAAACTTTGCAACTCCTCAACAAGGAGATCCATCAACGCAGCAGACCGAGGGGGGTGGAAACTCGATCCCGTGTTTCAGTGCGTGTCTCGGATCACTATTGCTTTTTGCAACCTTTAGGTCTAAAAGCATGCCGTGGCTTGAATCGACGCCAATACCCTGCCCCAACCTCAACAACGCAACTCTCAGAGCTGCAATTTGTTTTCTGGATTGCCTTCTGATTTTTGGAGCATGCCGAAACTGTAGGTGAAAGGGGAAGCGGAATATTGAATATGGTTATTTTTGACCATAACTATATACAGAAATTGTTAAATGACAAGGCGAACAATCTATTTATATACATTCAATGAGGATGACGGGTGATCAACCAATACAACAATGCACTTGGATCTTGTTTTGTAGCAATCGCGGTGCTGCACTGTAGCTTGACAAAGCTGAGTTGGTCCCAACCACGAAGGACTGGCAAACCGGTATGTGCATTCCAAACAACCGAGAGTCCGAGAGCCACCAAATTTGGCCAATCCTTGCTGAAGCGTTGCATTTTAGCAGCAAGAAGCTACTAGTAACAAGGGCATCGCTACTAGAAACAAGTGGATTACTACTAGTAACAAGGACTCCGAATTGAACAGGAGGTGGTGAGCCCAATTCCAGAAGATCCTGAGGGACAGCAAGGCGTGGTCTTGCATGATTCCTCCGGCTGACATTCTGCACAATCTAAGAATCCACCTTGCCTAACAGCCTCTTTGTGCAAGAACAAGTGCTAGAACACCACCTCAACGCCAAAGTTGATTTTCCGGGAACGCATGCTTAGGACTTTTGAATCCCCCGTCCGCACTCCGATACTGCAGCCTACTGAAGAGGTTTCATTTTGCATAACAGCTTTGTACCATGCTCCTAGTGTATGCAAGTCGCTGTCCAAGATGTGCTTTCAGGCCC